ATTCAAATATCCTAAACAAAGTACACAATTCCAAGTACACAGTGTGTAAGGTCACAGACAATATTATTAGGAATAGAACTTAGTGTTTCTTTTGAATCTAGTTATTCGATTAGAGAGGGCTCTGCCCTAATTGTTAGCAGAATATTGAAGATCAAAAAAACTAGAATGTACAAGAATTAGATCCATTGTTTTATTCATAGTTTGATTTAAGATTATAGCATAATCACATAATCATTAAGTCAAATAATGTACTCAATACAAAAGGAATGCATACATTTCCCCCATCCCATCCCAAGGTTTATTATGTAAATACTTGACAATGCAATGGATGTATACAGACTCTGGGTAACTGACTAAATCAGAGACAAGTGTGCATTTAAAGCCATGATCACACATAGTAAGTGAACAAGACTGTCTGGGTGTGGTTCTGCCTTTAAGACTTTCCATTATTTATTTCTGAAGAGTCAAACATTTGGATAACATTATAGTACCAGTTTTAGTTCAAATTACTTACTGTACAGAACACTTTGCATAGAAATAATTTGTGCAAATATATCAGTTTCAATCTTTAAAAGGTACACACTTTAAGGATTAATATTTCAGGATTTAAACATTGTGTATTTTCACTCAACATTAAATTATTTGCCCAAAGATGTTTCACTGAAAGAATAAAATAAACACTAATTGCACCAAAACTGACATTTAGAAATTACCCCCAGAAACTTTTAGAAGGAGGCTATTATAAGGAAAACTATTCAGGTTTAATTATATAAATTGATTATTTCATAACTTATTTTATATTGGCCATTAGCAAATATTCTTACAATAGATTTTAAATATCTTATTCTGCTGACGTATTCGGTTCACTTACAGCTTTGATAACACTGAAAAAAAATTACAGTAAATGTTTTCCAATTGGTTTTAAGTTATGCAAACTTCAATTTTGAACCTTTATAACAGACTTTTTTTAAAAATTAATGGAATAACTAGAAAATTCCAAAGTGAAATTTTGAATGGAACTGCTTCTGCTGGATATCTTTGTATCTTAAATTGAGAAAAACAAACCACACTTCAGCATGTTTTCATTTTTTACTGGTTTTATAAGCTTAGAGGATGAGTGTCATTTTCAAATCAAGCTCCTTATTTTGCATAGCTTTATCAACTCTTTCCTCTCGAAGGCATGATCCATGGCTTGTTGCATTTCTCTTATATTGTCAAGTTCAAGGTGTTGAATATTAGAGCCCACAGGCTATCTTGTGAATCAAATTATTTTTGAAGGAAGGTTGATTCAATTCATCAGATATTCTTATTAAGCATCTTGGTCAAATTGGTATCAGTGACTGAACTGTACTGGCTGGATACAAGTATTTTATTCTGGGTTGTTTGTTTTTTAATAATTCTCAGAATACAGAGGTCTCACCATCTTAGATGAATTAGGGAACTTGGTAGGGAAGGATGTTGTTTTCCCAGATCAGATGCTTTAACAAAAGTACAGGAGCGAGACTGAGAGTATGAAGAGGCCAGTAGTTGACTGAAGATAATTTCCATGTCCCTTGGTGGTGCTATTTATGTTAAGTGATACAGAAGTCACGGATGAATTATTGTGCGGAGCAACTGTAGTTTTACTAGCTTCCCCCTAAATAGGCAAAAGAAAAAAAAGAGATTGTAAAATCAATCAGCACATGTTGCATTCTGCCTTCCAGGGCTTATAGTGTATTGGTTTATGTTATTACATTAGTCTGCATAGATTGTAAAGATAGTTGTGGCTGTTTTTTTTTTTAATTTCACCATGAAATACACATTCGCATATGTTTCACTGCCCTTCCTAAAAAGTACACTTTAAAGAGCATAATTCTATATTCAGAAATAAGCCCCTGGAGCTTACTTATATGTTAACCGTATGTAACATGCAAAACAAACAATTTGAAATCTTTTTCTTGAGATATATTAGTCCTGAGGCAAACAGTCAATAAGAAAAGAACTCTATGACAGTTAGAATGAGAATTCACAGCTCACCTTTTTGTATATCCCATATCAATAATGACACTGACAACTTGGAAATAATACTCTAACATCAACATACCAATCACCTAACCCAAACTTCCTCATCTATCAAATCACAATTTATCTGAAATGGATATTTTCTCTTTTAACAATGTCAGATTTTACTGAGACCAGATCAAAGCTAGCAATCAGAAAATAAAAATGCTATTCAGGTAATCTTAGATAGAAGAATTGATAGCTCGTCATTCATACTCCAGTTGAGTTTATAAAGAAGTCTACATTGGATTCAAGCATTACATTACATCATAACATGCTTGTTTGATTTTGGCTTACATGATATGAAAAACCTTATTTCCAGCTTATTTAACATTTCTGATTAAATACTCACATTAATAATGCTGGCTATTATTGATACTTTTAACAAGTGAAAGATTTTTAAGGTGAAAAGACCAGAGGTAAAATTTCACAATAAATCTCTTTATTTTTTTGTTCTGGTCATTGCATGCCATGACAGGCAAATGAAATAATATGTTTTAGGAATTTAAAATACTTGAAATGGCTTTGAAATTACTTGAAATGATTTCTATGGCACAGGTATTATTTCTTTTGTTTTGGTTACTATGTAGCCAACAAGACTTTTAGAAACCTGAGTACAACATAAAAACTGGCTCAAATAATGACATGAATAGGATAAGCACATACCACACTTTCAGATCTGCTATTAGATTTGAGCACATGCATTGTCTATCTCCAGCCGCTTAGCACTAATTTTTATTTCAAGAATTTGTTAAAAGTTGCATAAAATTAGAAAAGCAGGCATATGCTGACTGAGCTAAAACACCCCCTTAAACCAAGCTGGATTATGGCTCAACTTGCTTTGTGATCCCAACTATTACAATTTACGGCTTAATTTGAAGCCTGAACCTAGTCAACTGTGGGTTAATCACTAAGCCATGGATCACAGGTTTGTGAAATTTGTGGATCAGGCCACAAAAATATCTTTGTAACCTATTTTTTGATATAGAAGTCCTTTGTACTACAGCACCAATTTGATATGGTGGTTAAAATGTACCATGTTTGAAATGAGAATATGAATTCCAATCATCCCCACTAGGTAGATGAGGCCAGGAAATCACCTCTACATGAAGGCTAAAACTACTTTTATTGACATTGGATAAATAAGAGAAATTTGCCAGTTCAACTGTGGTGCCTAGAGACCACTTGAGCCACTTCTGAAGGAAGGATAGACCAACTTATGTCATGTTGATAATGTCAGACTTCAGCTACTCTATGAAGAATATCTGATCTGGCAGCTGAGCACGTATTGGAAAGCAGGGCAGGTTTTGAGTATCTACTTCATTTAACAATAATAGATGAAAGGTTGCCATATAGATTGCAAACCCACCATAATATTCCCCAAGCCACATATGTTATACATCAGGTCAGTTTCACCCCATCCATTTCAAATGGAGATACGTTTATTTTGAGCAAAATTTATACTCAGTAAGCACTGACAGTCCAGTCAAGTTTAAGAGGCAGCATTCATATCTGCTCATAGATTATCCACATTAAAATTCTAATTTCAGAAATCCTATACACAAGGATGTTTTTCCTTAATAAAGGGAATTCCAACTTGAGAAATGCACTTGCATGATTGCCACCTGACTATTGTATATTCTGGTTGTTTAGAATAAGTTCTTATGTTGCATTTCACACTTACAGAGCAACAACACCACGTACAGTTAACATATGTTAGCTGTGAAGTTCAAGTCAGAAAGCTGGGAGGATATACGGCACATAGGAAGCATATTCAAAGAAATCATTTTGTTACATACTACCAAAGAAATTCTCTACTGTTAAGCTTGATGCTGCTTTTTCTATTAGACGTTACAATAACAAATTTACTTCCACAAAAAGCTGCAGATTATCTAAGAACTAAAAGGTAAACCTTACAGATTTTTTAATCAAACTTTTCAAGCCACTCCAATCTGTTCTCAAAATGTTTCCCCAAAGTCCCTTTCATTTCTGTTAAATATTCGCTCCAATTTTATTTTTTGCTATCCCTTTAGCAAACACTTTCTCCTGCCTTCAACTATGTCTGCTAAGCTGATATAAAGTAACAAGACTGAAATGCAAGTCCTCAGTTCTTTGAAACTAGCTGCATAAAATATTAATCTGCTACAGCTTCTATTGTAGTACTGTGGTATTGAAGGACTAATTTGTGCTTTTTTAAAAATGCCAAGTCAGGCAGGGCTTCCCAAATTTCTTCAAAGATTTACATAATCACGAAAGGCATGATAAAGCATATATATGTCTAGAAAGTTATTACTTGAAAGTTTATTTAATAAAGAGAGCAGATTCTTAAGTTATCTGCTATACTAAAATTCACAAGAATTTCTATAGCAGTATCCAGTGGTTAAGGAAAAAACGGGGCTGTGAATTCAAAAAGAAGACTAGGATTTGGAATGTACATATACCAGTACTTCACCTGCCTGGATCACCCACAAGCCAAAGTGAATTTCTAAAAAGTGTTAGGGAGGGCGGCCACAGAAAGCACAGCTGACTCTCCCATAGATGCTACCCGCATACATCCAAATTACGTTTTGCCTTCCAATCTGGATCTCCACACAACTCAAGTACAGTACACACAATTATACACCAAGAATAGAACGTAAAACCCACAGAGAAGTCTGAAAGAGAATAGTGAAGTCTCTCAGTAATTTGTTCTTCAACACAGCAAGAAAATCTAACAGGACAAAATCTAACATGGGGGGAAGAGAAACAAACATTCCAACTCTCAGCTACTTCAACCACTATGTATTACTAAGTTCAGCAACACTAGATGGTCTGCAGTCCTACTCTAGCAATAGCACTTAGACTTATATACCGCTTCACAATGCTTTACAGCCCTCTCTAAGCAGTTTACAGTCAGCATATTGCAGCCAACAATCTGGGTCCTCATTTTACCGACCTCCCAAGCAGCAGCCTTTTAAGAAAAGGCAGATGGAAGACTTGTCGGGCAACTGCATTTTACTACTTTCAAGTTTCCACAAAACAGCTTTCCTATCAGGTTGATTTTAGATGGTTGATAATGCAGTTACTTTTTTTTTAAGCCACTCTAAGCAGCTTTTGCAAAACTGTTAAAAACTGCTAGAGCATGTAGCTTTTCAGATACTTATTCCAATTCAATTGCAGCCTAACCAACAATTTTATTTTATCCAAAACTCTACAAGAAGTCTATTTTTATTCCCTCAATGGCTAGCATATGGGTACTTGCCTTCTCCAGCTAGTAGTGGCTAGGATGAAGACATTCAGGCGTTAATTCCTAATGTAACCTTAGTCAAAATTTAATGGGATGTATATTTCTGAGCAGACGTATATAGAACTGCAAAAGGAAGCTAAAGGGGAACGGGTGATCAACTTTTCTCCTTAAAAAACAATGTAAAAGAATTTACTTTCTTTAAAAAGATCAGAAGTGGGGAAGGAGGACGACGCTCAATCTTCCCTAGGAAATTGGGAAAAGGAGGCAACAGAAGGCTGGAACTGAGTCTGCAAATCTGCAAAACTTAAGTTAGAGAACTGAATTCCAGGATTCATCCACATATCACATTAAACCATGCTTAAATTCAATTTACTGAATGAACCACAGATGCCTAGGTTTACCCAACTGGCTATGCCCGAACCAACCAAGCCACATTTAAAGGTTCAGCGCGATCTGGAAACTAAAAAAAAAAAAAAAACCTCTGTCGGGAAAACTTCCCCCTCCCCCGCGCGCGCCTCCCCCATCCCACCTCAAAATTGCAACTTATTAATGCAAAATTCGCGCGCGGCTGGAAAGCAAAACCCGGGAAAGCCCCTGAGGAGGATGGTGGCAACGCTAATAAGAATAAACGTCCTCTGCTCCTCCGCCCCCGCGACACCTATTCCGGAGCGCGGGGTGTCCCGCTGCTGAGGCTTGGGGGTGAAGCGAACCCGCGGCTGGGCAGGCCTCGTGGTCGCTCGCTCGCTCGCTCGCTCACCTGAGAGGGTGAAAGCAGCGCCAGGACAAAAAGCCCGAAGACGAGCCGCCAAGCCAGCGTCCTGCCCATGTCTGCTCGTGCCGGGAACGCCGCTCGTCCCACCCCGTAAGTGCTTCTCCTCAGGTGCAGCGGCGGAGGCCGGTTTTTATGGGCGCACCAAGCGGCGGGGGGGGGGGGGGGCGGATCCAGGGCCTCGTCGCCCCCGCCTCCTTTATTTCGTTCTGTTTGTGGGACGACCCTCCGCCGCTTCTCCTCCTCTGACTCCCTCTCAGGAGCGCCTTTCCGTACTGGAAATAAAACACCAGCGTAGCGAAACAGGGAAGGCGGGGAGGACGAGGGAAGGAAAGCTGGAGATGCCCCTGGGCTTTTAGTTTCAGTACAAAAGCTTTCTTTTTTATATATTTTTTATTTTATTTTAATTATAAGTATACAACAGGGTGCATCCGTTCTGGCATTACAATTGTTATACATGTGTAAATTTTACTTCACCATTTACAATCCTCTTGTTTGATACATTGTTTACTAATTATTCTAATCATCATTGCTATTTATGCAGATTCCACCTTGTTTTTTAATTCTAAGGTTAGTCTGTCCAGGCAGCCTTGGTGTCTAAACTTTGATGAATTCAGATTCATCTAAACGATGAATTCATCTAAACGATGAGTTCAGATTCATCTAAACTTTGATGAATTCAGATTCATCTAAACGATGAATTCATCTAAACGATGAGTTCAGATTCATCTAAACTTTGATGAATTCAGATTCCAATCAACTTTCCTGTTTTAGAAGATTACTTTCCCTCCCCTCCCCTTGAGTCCCTAGTATACAAAAACAGAAGCAAACAAAAAAGTATGATGGTATTTCTTTTGGGGACATCTAAATCACATTGAAAAAAAAAAGGCAACTGGTCCTTTTCCATGGAAGCCTTACTCTGAGCAAGTCCTGGGATCTTCTCTTTGTGCAAATGCAGTTCTGAAAAGTCAAGGGTGACTGGTCATGTGCTGAACACTACTCCTTAAAAGCGGCCATAGAATAGGTTTTTGCATATTTTGAATTAGCAGCAGTGTAACTACTAGTTGGCCTAACTACTAGTTAGAACCAAATGACAGGAAACTGTGGTAGAGTGTGTCTTTGCTCTGGCTCATCAGGGGAGGATGCCTCTTTCTCCTTAATTCATAAATTAATTCATTGTCAGGGATAGCTTGCTGGGTGGGACTATAGTAACAGGTGCCAAGGTTGTGGTTTTCCTTTTACAATACATGTCTTTTCCAAAACAAACTTGATCTTCATTTATCAGAAAGTGCAAAAAGAATAAGAGGCTGTGCTGGACTGGATCTAATACTCACTAACACACCTGATTGAAGAAGTGACTGTTGCCAGGAATATGGAGGGAACTGGTTGTGTTACTCTTGAATCTCTAGTAAGCAAAGGAGGAGAAAGAAGAATTAGAGTAGCATACTTGGTGTGAAAAGACCAAAGGTTGGTGAACTCCAAGGACAGGAAGGTGGGTTATGGCAGCTTCAATTCCTTAAGGAAAAAAAAAGTCTAGGATGAGTTGGAAATCGTACAAAATTGGATGGGATGAGGCTGCAAACAATTCCTACAAGGAAAAAAAAATAAAAGAAATCTTGATTGATTGAAAATTTATTAACAATCTTACAGTGATTATATATATTAATAATATATTAATAATATATAGTTATTATGTACCATCATGTTGATGCCAACTTAGCCGCCACGTAGATTTTCTCCTTACAGAGTCCGGTAATCTAAAATGCTGATCACGAGCAAGAAAAATAAACACCGGAGAGTGGAAAGGGGGAATGGAAGAGAAGGGGGCCTAACCAAAGAACACAAGGCAGTGTTCAGAAAGAGTAGGAACTATACCAGAAAGAGAATGAGTTGAGGCTTTCAAGAAATACAAAAAATAACAAAGAAAGCAAGATTTGAGGGGGGTGTAAAATGGAAAGAAAAGAGAGTATGGGAGTTGTGAGGAGAAAGTAGCCAAGTGGTGATGGATATTGGTTGGAATGCAGAAGTTTGTAAGTTATATTTTGCATTTGTTTTCTCTCAGAAGGAAATGTCAAAGCCATGCCACTAGAACAGAAATGAACCAGAGCTTAGGATACACACAGAGAGGGTAAGACAATACAGCTAATTCCAGAACCAAATAAATTACATCCCAAAGTGCCAGTTTGGTCTAATGGGTAAGGCACCAGGTAAAGAAAGAGAGAGACTGTGAGTTCAAATCCCACCCTACCCATGAAAGTCAGTTGGGTGACTTTGGGCCAGACTCTCTCTCTCTCAGCCCTGTTATTGTAAGGAAAATCAATTAATTAATCAATCAATCTTGGTAATGTTTGAGAACCCTTAGAAGACTGGTGACATCTCAGAAAACTGGAAGAGAAATTAGTGTTATTATTGTTGTCTCACAAGGCTGTTAAAGCCATAAGAAACAACAGCTCTACAGCTCCAGGAGTGAAGAATGCAAACATGATTTTAAATATTATTTCCCTTTCTTGAAATGATAAAGCAAGAGAAAGGGAACAAGGGGGGATATTATATACCACATTTTGGCATGATTTAAATGCTTTAAATGCAATAGGTATTTTGTAAACATCCAACACTAAGCCACAATGTGATTAAATTAGTTTTGACTTGGTGTGATGAGTGAACCCAGCCAATATGATTACAAAAGCAAAGTGTTTGTTTAATATATGGCTGCCTATTTTATAAACAGGATGCAGTGGATCAGTGTCGATAAGAAAGGTTGGCAGTTCAGCGGTTCGAATCCCTAGCACTGCGTAACAGAGTGAGCTCCAGTTACTTGTCCCAGCTTCTGCCAACCTAGCAATTCAAAAGCATGTAAAAATACAAGTAGAAAAATAGGGATCTCTTTGGTGGGAAGGTAACAGCGTTCCATGCACCTTCGGCATTTAGTCATGCTGACCACATGACCACGGAGACGTCTTCGGACAGTGCTGGCTCTTCGGCTTTGTAACGGAGATGAGCACCTCCCCCTAGAGCTGGAAACTACTAGCACCTATGTGCAAGGGGAACCTTTACCTATTTTATAAACAATAACCCTAGGCAATTCACAACAAACAAACAAACAAAAACAAGCCCCAAACCAGCAATGAAACAATTGGGTCATCCATGAAGCAACTGTCTCTGCACGCTTTCAGTTTATTTCAGGTGTATCCAATCTTCTGGTTTGCCTGGGCCACCTTGAGTGAAGAGGAGCTGTCTTGGGAAACATATAAAATATATAATATGGATAAATATAAAAATCACATCATGAAGTTTATGATCTTGTGGGGCTGCTTTTCTAGCTGTCCAGGGCTGTGGGTTGGACATGCCTGGTTTAGTTCAATGTTTGTGGAACATGCTCAGAACCTGTGTAGAATTAACACGAATAAGTACATGCTGGCCATCATTTTACATCCTGTTTATCCAAGGATTAAGTGTCATGCTCTGTCAGGAAAGTCATTATTTCTGGATTTTGCAACATTATAAATCACAGAAGGTGGTTTTTATAATTCCCTACAACAAACAAGGGAAAAACCAACCAACTCATACAGTTTGTGATATTAGCTACTGTTTCAACAATATTTATAACCGCAATCCTAAACATTTTTATTCTGGAATGAGCATTCCACTCAATAGGCTTTACTCCTACGTAATTTGGTATACCTAGGATCTTCTGAACTACTGTCATTCACTAAGTAATGCAATTATGTTGTAAGATATGCAATCATATCATAAAAGTGAATCCGTTGATTAAAATGCCAGCTTATTGCTTGACTTGGGGGCAACATTTAACCATGCTTGACTGATCTCCAAAAAATAAGCAGAATGGGGACTGGTTAGCATTTGAAGACACCAGCACAGATAAATGTCAGATTTGTAGACTTGATTGAGAAATAAAAGGGGAAAAAATCTGTGAGAAAAGCAGTGGCAAATCATTTTTACACTTCACTGTCAATAAAATTATCTGAACAAACCCATGAATTTGCTGGGAGCTGATTTTTACTCAGGAGGCACTGGTTGCTCTCCTGTTAATATGTCATTTTCAATTCCTCTATTGGATTACTGTATTGGATAAACCCAATGGCTCCTACTATGAATTCACTGTTAAGGGCTGCTCCTTGTTGGACCACAGCAAAGAGAAAAATAACTCCACAAAACCTCCCCTCTACCTTTTTAAAGTCTAACAATGCAATTCTATATATACATATTCTTCTGTAAGACACAGAATGCAATGAGGTTTAATATTAAGTTGGTTTTAGGTAAATATCTACCTGGCCCCTTGACTTCTAAAGACCTCTTCATTCTTATCCACTTCTAGAACAGACTTCTAGAGCTGTAAAAGACAGGCAAAACCCATCTTGAAAAATCAGAGATGAGGAAGCTGGAATTTTAACACTGACCTCGTATTCCTTCCCATCTAATTCCAGTCTTGTGAAAGATAACAATGAGTACTGTAGGACTTCTGGTTTGAGCTTCTTCAGCGACAGGCAGAAATCCGTGATTGTGCGCAGTTTTGGTCTGGGCTCGCTGCTGGAGCACCCCAAGCTGGCTGGTTTCAGGGCTAAGCCACCCTGTAGAGGTGGTGAAGAGGGGAGAGACTGCTAGCAGGGTTGAGGAGAGCCGCATCTCTCCTCCTCAGCTGGCCATTACTCCCTTTCCCAAAGGCGGTTGCAGCAGTGGTCAGAAATGGCCACCTCAAAGAAGAACTCGACCAGAAAAGAATGTGCAGGAGGAAGATAAGAAGTGAAAGTTCTGGCTGACTGGGTTAAATTGCAAAAGCAACAATTAAGGTACCCTGGAATTTAAACTTTAAAAAATAACATCGTTCCCAAAGAAGATTCTGAAGCAGCGAAGGAAAGTGAAAAGGGAAAGGTTTGTTTTTTTTTTCTTCTCTCCCTTTCCCTATACTGACAAATAAGAGATTCAATAAGAAATCGGGGGGAAAATCCGCTTTGACATCAACAGGCAATTAAGCTGAAAATAAAATAAAATGTCAAAGGGATAATAAAGATTTCTGGACACTAAAATTTTTTTATAAGCAGGAAAGGAGAGAAAAAGAATAAAAGGGTAGGATCTGGAAAAAACGGAAGAGACTGCCTGGAATTAAAAGGAATCTAC